CTCCTGATAATACAACGCGGGAAGGACGCTTAAGAGTACATGCTCATAAATACAGTCCAACGAGAATATTATTTCTGCCGAATACAAGCTACATGACGCGCCACCTATGGTCGACGTCGCTGATCACGTGCTAACGTTCATTTGTCACGTGTCAGGACGAAGTGGAAGCGGCAGACGACGGCGACGATGCGAGCGGAGCAGCTGAGACATCACATCTGTGACGAGAAGGATTGTCCGGGACTACGGCGCGCCCAGGCGGCCGCCGAAGCTGCTGCCTTCTGCCGGCACTGCCTGCTCGATCCCGCAGACACGTCGCAGGCCAACTTGCTGGCGCGCGCAGGCATGCTGAGAAACATACCCGCACTCTACCTTCCGCCCTACCCGCGCATGTAGCGGCCGTCCCGTGCCTACCTACCCACCTCCTCCCCTCCCCCAGCGTGGGTCGCACGTACCCACGTAGATGCAGCAACCTGCTCCCACCACCGCCACAAGTCACACCCAGCACCCATCACCACCAGGGAGTCGTATCTAGCACCTACCACCACCAGGGGTCGTACCTAGCACCCAACACCATGCACCAGGGGGTCGTAGCTAGTATCTATCACCACCAGGGGGTCGTACCTAGCATCTATCACCACCAGGGGTCGTACCTAGCACCCAACACCACAGGGGTCGTACCTAGCATCTATCACCACCAGGGGTCCGTACCTAGCATCTATCACCACCAGGGGTCGTACCTAGCATCCTATCCACCACCAGGGGTCGTACCTAGCATCTATCACCACCAGGGGTCGTCCTAGCATCTATCCACCACCAGGGGTCGTACCTAGATCTATCACCACCGAGGGGTCGTACCTAGCATCTATCACCACCAGGGTCGTACCTAGCATCTATCACCACCAGGGGTCGTACCTCAGTCTCTATCACCACCAGGGTCGTACGCTAGCACCTACCCACCACCAGCGGGCTCGTACCTAGCAGCCCTAGCCACCAACAGGGGTCGTACCTAGCATCCTACCACCACAGGGGTCGTAGTTACGAGCTACTACCACCAGGGTGCGTACCTAGACTCATATAGCTGGTGTTTGTCTATTTAACACAAACTGTCTGACAGTTACTCCGAAGCAGCTTTTCAAAGAATGAGCATTGATATTGATTTGAGATTAGGCATTGCTAGATGGGACTCAGTGAACCATACGTCTACCGTCTACCAAAAGTCTACGTCAGCATTATGTGTAGTTCCCTAGATAATGTTACGGATATCCCCTCCACCCCCTACCTATATTCTAATGAATCTCAATCATCACTTTTATCTATTCATAACAATCTCAAGTAACTGCAGTTATTTCTTTATGTATTACTATGTAAACAGTATGTGAAGCACCTTATTATAACACACCTACAGATTTGTGCTGTAAACCACACTTCGTATTTACATATTTCACCGTGGAGAAAGTGTATATGGTAGAAATTTAACACATGATGTACAATATCAATAATAATTACTGTTCATGTTAAGATTTTTGTGAAATAAATAATATATATATATATTGTATAATAAAAACTGGAATGTTGTTTTTTAGCACAATAATCTTTTAAACATTTCCAACACAATGAAAACAAGATAACACTCCAATAATTCTTGTGACACAATTTCATTGAAAATACCTCACACCATAAGAAATCATACAATGCTCAGAAACAACCAGCCTTGCAGGCACAGTATATATACATTACTTCCCTGCTGATTACAAAGAGACATCATTAGAAGATAATCTATTCAATATGCTTCATATATAGTGTTGACATTTTACTTCTAATTTAGAAATTCTCCTCTTCCCGGAAACGCAACATGAACTGGGAAACTAGACTGCGCTCAGAGACGTGTGATTCATCGTTGCTGTTGTGCACTAGCCAGATGTTTCTCGTGCAATGATCACACGTTGGATCTTGCTGCTGTTCCGTCGTAGATCTGTAACAAAGTTCGACAGTTAGTTGCTCAGTTTGATTCAAATGTGACTTCTAACCACTGCAGTGTTTATTTAGCATGAGAATGAGAGCATATATTTTTGTTAAATTAAAAAATAGAATGAAACGTGTGCAACATACCTCGCAGATCGAGATAGACACCTGTACAACATACCTGGTAGATCTACACCTGTACAACATACCTGGTAGATCTACACCTGTATAACATACCTGGTAGATCTACACCTGTACAACATACCTGGTAGATCTACACCTGTACAACATACCTGATAGATCTACACCTGTACAACATACCTGATAGATCTACACCTGTACAACATACCTGATAGATCTACACCTGTACAACATACCTGGTAGTCTACACTGACAACATACCTGGTAGATCACACCACCTGTACAACACACCTGGTAGATCCACACCTGTACAACATACCTGGCAGATCTACACTGTAATAACATACCTGGTAGATCTACACCTGTACAACACACCTGGTAGATCTACACTGTACAACACACTGGTAGATTGCACACTGTATAACATATCCTGGTAGATCCAAACTGTCAACACACCTGGTAGATCTGCACCTGTACAACTAACCTGATAGATCTACACCTGTACAACATACCGTCGGTAGATCCACACCTGTACAACATACCTGGTAGATCTACACCTGTACAACATACCTGGTAGATCTACACCTGTACAACATACCTGGTAGATCTTTGCATCTCTCATCAACTTCTCGACGGGATATTCGCTATTAAATCCGTTTCCGCCGAATATCTGCACAGCATCCGTCGCTGCCTTGTTCGCCACATCCGCTGACAGAGCCTTGGCAATAGACGCATAGTACGTGTTGCGTCTGCCTTGATCCACCTCCCATGCTGCCCTCTGGTAGGCCAATCGAGAAGTTTCAATCCCTATTGCCATCTCAGCAAGCATAAATGATATAGCTTGGTGCTGGAAAGGATAACATAATAGGAAAAGATAACAATTAATATAATATAACGCAAGGGAATGTCAATAAAATTTATAACCACATTAAACAAGACATACTCAAAACAAGTGCCGCATAGCGACAGCGCTCATCTAACGTCTACTGGCGGTGACTCTGTGGTGGAGTGGTGGGATTCTAGTACCCTGTTAGTCCCAAATGTGTTCACATACACGCCGAAATAGTGGAATGCACAGAGATGGTATCAGGAACCTTCTCAAAAGAATGTTCGTTGGGATCGTTATGAAAGTGCCATGAGATGGCGTGTACGTTTGTGTCTTCAGATTAAAGATGGAAGCTCCCATCATTCGTAGTAGCACCATTATTTGCAAGACAGAATCTAGGTAAGCACTCATCCATTAACCTACGGCAAGCCTACAGGCTGCAAATTGCAATAGAGAGCTGCCACCTGTAACCAATTAATGCAGGCAAAAACTGCCCCAACACATGCACAGCCACTGGCAGTGGCATACGTGACATGTAACCAACTGACACGTGACGAATGACATAGAAATTATACGATTTAAGGAATATACACCTTTCTTAACCAAATTTAGCTTTTGAAATTTCACTGTGACATTGTAGCCTCATACATCCAGGCTTGTTAGATTCTACTAGCAAACCCCGGCAGTCAAATTCTTTCTACACGACAGTCAACAAATCCATGTTTAACCCTCCTCTTGAGGTAGGGGGAGGGGGAGGGATGGGGGGGAGGGGTGGGGGAAGGGTGGGGGAGGGGGTGGGGGAGGGGGAAGGGGGAGGGTGGGGGGAGGGGGCTCTAATAGCAAAAGCAGTTCACTCGCCTTTGTTAACAGTCAACAAATCCATGTTTAACCCTCCTCTTGAGGGTCAAAAGGATATCCGACACTTACTCTTCGCATGTCAGCAGAAGGGACATTTCATGGTCCTTCAATAAAGCCATAAAAATGCTAGGTCACCGCTGAAACAAAAAGTTTTTCAATCGCTCCGTCAGACCATGTCCTCAGAAAATGTCTAAAATCTGCCCTGTGCCCACTGACCTTTGACCTGTGACCTCCATTTCGGCACAGTGATGGCTTTTCCTACCATGATGCTATACACCGACTATCACGCGCCTAGGTCGAGCGTTTAGATTTGTGCCGCAATTTGCATTTCCTCCCTATACCTTAAGTTAAGGAGTGAATGTTCCCCCTTCTTTTACACCTCTTGACCTTTGACCTTTGACCCCCAGCTTCGACATCCCAACTCGTTTTGACGATCCCCCCGATGTGCCGAATATCGTGACCGTACGTCGAGCGGTTAAGATTTGTGCCAACTGTTGACGCACGGACGGACGCACGGACGGACGGACGGACGATCAAGCGATTCTACAAGCTGCATCTGACTATGTCAGATGAGCTAAAAATCTAAAAATGACAAGCCAGATACTATTTACCTCAGCGATGACTTTACCAAATGTTTTCCTCTCTAATGCATATTTCGTTGCTTCATCCAGTGCTCTCTGAGCTAGGCCCACAGCACCTGCTGCACCTGTAGGCAACAAACGGTCTTACCAAATATCCTATGCAACAATGAAAGTGTCAATGACACTGTAGCTCACCTTGAGTGTGATAGAAGAGGGAGGGGGGATATATAAATATGGGAGAACTCCTATTATATAGCATATCTCCCATTATATACTCTAGTCTTGATAATGATCTATGCGTAATTTTTGATGCGAAAATAAATGTTTCAGATCTGAAAGTCTGAAATCTGGGCGAGAAATGGCGCTACGCCGAAATGATCGCCATTTTGGTTTTCGAATATCGCGCAAATAAAAACAATAAAAGATTCCAGTCAAATTACTGTAACGAAGAATCTAAAACACAATATTACACTTAGGTATGATTGTAGAGTTGTTAACCAGTTAGACGAAATAAACGTAATAGGACGTTGTCATCTCTCCCATAGGAGTAACAACTGTTTTGGGCTCGCCTTACACATTCACATACCAAATTTAACAAAATCGAATGAATCTAGATGGCCATTTTCATTTTTGCCAAAAAGTGGGCATGGCTCGAAAGTAGGTCGACTGGTGTGCTCCAAAAAATAGGACGTTCAAATCTCTCCCATAGGAGTAACAACTGTATGCAATTTGAAACATGTGGGTCAAACGGTTCTTGAGTTATTGTTGACCGTAGGCAGACACTGAAATGCATAATGAAATTGCCAAAATATACCTAATTTGTATAATTTAAAAAAAATATCAAAACCCCTGTGATATGTTTTGGGGCCAGTCGTTATTCATTCACATACCAAAAATGAGCAAAATCCGTTGAACCTGAACTGACTTATTGCCATTTCCATTTTTGCCAAAAAGTGGACGTGGCTCAAATGTAGGTCAACTAGCGTGCCCCAAAATAGGATGTTCACACCTCTCCCATAGGAGTAACAACTGTATGCAATTTGAAACTTGTGGGTCAAACGGTTCTCAAGTTATCGTTAACCGTAGCCAAATGTTGACGGACGGACGGATGTACGACGGACAACGCCCCATGGCCATAGCCCATCTTGACGATGTCAAGGTGAGCTAAAAATTACATTCAAGTTATAATTGGACTGTACTTTACTATATGTACAATTATATAAATCAGGTATGCGTGTTCGTTCATTCGTGCGTGCGAGTCGAGTGCGAGAGTGTGTGTATGTGTGTGTGTGTGTGTGTGTGCCTGTATGTGTGTGTGCGTGTGCATGCACGTATGCATGTGTGCACGTGTGTAGGCGTATATATGTGCAAAAGCACGTAGTGCCACGACTAACTTACTGGAGGACGTGTCTTGTCAAATGCTCCCATTGCAACCTTGAATCCCACTCCTTCAGATCCTAATAGATTCTGAAATTATACAGCTATTATCAGTAATATCATTAACTAATGCAAACAATATTACGTTACTAGTAATACACACCACGTTTGACCTCTTTTAGTCATTCACGTCGACTACACGGGCATTCGCGCATACAATACAATTTATAAAACAAATATCTCTCGAAAAATTCTATTTTCAATCAAGCCATTTCTGAGTACTTTCAGTATATGATCTCTCAGTATTTCTCAGTGTCTCTCAGTATACTCTCAGTATAGTACTCTCAGTATATATAATATATATATTTATATATATATATATATATTATTTATATATATGTATGTATATAACTACAAATGTACAAACCAACCCACCTCTTTTGGCACTCTAACATCTTCAAATGTGATACCTCTGGTGTCAGAACAACGCTGCCCCATGTTCCATTCCTACATATTCAATTAAGAGATAAGCAATTAGAATGAAATTGCTACACTAGAATCTCAACTCAAAACAAGAGCCTGTGCACAGGAACGCACGCACCCGCACGCGCACGCACGCACGCACGCACGCACACGCACCCACACTTATTTTAATATGACACACATTTATTACTGGAAATTCTGGATTTAATCTAATGAAAACGGACTCTGTCCCAACATTCCTAGGGCTTCGAAAATCGAAAGATACCAGTGTGAGCAGGAATAAACAGCAGCATCCAAACTGAGAACTATACATCTATTTATAAATCCCATTTTATTTAATTATAATAATTAATTATAAATCCCCGCTTAAAAATATTGTGTCGACGATTGATTGCTTATATTGTGTCAAGTAAACATCGGAAACTATCACTAGTGTAGTAGATTATTAAAAAAAACTAGGCCATGGCTACGCGTCCGGTCATATATTTCTTATGTGAACCCAACTATATTTTTCCAGTAAAAAAACAATAAACAATAAGTTTTTACCATAATATTACTTACCTTTAGATATTTTATAAAAAAATGTTTTTGTAACTTTTCAAGCGATAGTAAATCCAGTAAAATCAACGATTTGAAAAGGGGCGTGGCCTAATCGTGACGTGGATTTTGGAATCTGTGCTGAGCTTTGTAATGGATGACCGGACGCGTAGCCACTGCGAAAAAACTATGGAGATAACAGAATGCATCTCTACTATAACTAAGACATGGTTTTGGCATGTCAGCACTGTACACTGTTTTATTTATTTGAGCATGATATAAGATGGTGGTACACATGCAAGCAGATGTCTCTGTGTATGACCACATATCCCATCAGCCGGGTAACGGTACACAGTACATGGGGATATTGCACTTTGAACACCGTTCGATAACAACCAATACACACAATTCATCAGTCAATTACCAACCGATAAAAAAAATGCTCGACAAGCACATACAGAGTGCGTGCCACGGTCGATAGCTACGATCGATCGTAACCATAAACAGGTGGTGGTCAATGCACATACAGAGTGCGTGCCACGGTCGATAGCTACGATCGATCGTAACCGTAAACAGGTAGCGGCAGTCAGTGCATCACACATACGTACCTTCTTGCCAAGAATCACACCAGGTGTCTCTCGTTCCACGATGAAACCCGTGAACGCTTTCCCAGCAGAGGCCTTCGGATCGCTGCTTGTTCGTGCGAGAACAAAGTACCTGAAAAATCGTCGTGAAGCCTAAGACTAATATTTACGAGGTACAAGGTAGCACCCACCGACTGTCACCCACCTTCAATCCCTTGCATTTTTAAAAGCATCCAAATTATTCAGATTAAGTAGCAAGTTATTAACGATTACGTTTATTATGACAGAATTTTTTTGGTGTTTTTCCGACGCCACAGATGAGTCTTGAGTGCCAGCACAGCTATCAACTGCCCCCAAGTCTAAAATACTGGAGACATATGGCGGAATCATCATGAAATTCACACAAAAACAAATGCGGTATTCGACTCTGGTAGGAGGAACGCTCCGGATGCATGCTGAACTAACCAATTTGCGTGGCCGCCATTTGTGATCCACATTTTCTGTCCGTTCAGAATGTATTCATCCCCTTTCTTCTCTGCTCGAGTTTTGACTCCTGCCACGTCTGACCCAGTGTTAGGTTCCGTGACACAGTACGCCTAGAAGCAATATCCTTCTAAAACCACATCACACGTGCCCAAGTAGGCACAAACACCTATACTGTGTACAATAGTGTAAATCTCCACGTGAACAATGAATACGACTACATTATTTATTCGAGATAATGTATAAGCTATCTAGTTATTTTAAGCAAATTAATGTTTAATGATGCCTCGTTTCATTTACTCTGTGCAATTATGTGAGAATCGATGACTTACACACATTAGAAGCTCCTCCATCATCCTTCCAAGGTATTTTTTCTTTTGTGCATCGTTACCAGCGAGAATCACAGGCATTTGCTAAATCAAATAGAGCCAAACACCATCAGTGTGAATTTCACGAATAATTCACTTTAAAATTGCTAAATACTAATAATCAAATTATAATATAATAATAATAACTAATCAAATAAAATACACTGATTAACAGTGTGTGTGTACTGGACTAGAAAATGTTATAGGGTTTTTAAAATACTGTACGATCACAGGGCTATCCTTTGAAGCAGTATCTTACTATTAAAATAGAGATAGAGAACGAGAGAGAAAGATAATTAACTAACGCCTAGTGTGTTGGCTTCAATAGCAGTCTGTACACCACTACAACCATATGCAAGTTCCTCAGTTATCATGCAGCCATCAAAAGTGCCGAGACCAAGCCCACCTGTTTGCGAAAACAATACACAATAAAAGTGGAAGAAGTGTCATCATATGCAACCTGCACAGCGTACATACACAATAATGCACATTAAACATCGGATTAACTCTCCTGGTATTTGCAAGCTGTCAGCATGGAATAACATACAGAGGGAATAAGAGAAAAATATATAACAGCGTATAAATAACAGAGGAAATGAGGGACATCAGTGGTATGTGTGTTTAGGAGAAGACACATGACATAAAACGTAACATAACACACCATACAGCAGTGCAACTATAGTGCAATAAGGGGTTCATTTTCAAGTAGACAGGCAAAGAATCAGAAGTAGATATTGGATATTTACCATATTCCTCTGGAATGTGAGTATTGATAAGGCCAAGGTTCCAAGTTTTTTTCAGGAGATCCCACGGATACTGGAAACACAATGCATCATAGATACACATGATTCATAAACGATCATCAGGGGTAGAAATTAACTTTTGAACAAGGGAGTCCAACGGACTCCCTACCCTCAAAAAGAAGGAGTCCGCAGCAAAATGCGGGAGTCCGCAGTCTGAGGTTCAAAATTTAAGATATTAACAATAACGCATGTGCTTATTTTTAAGATTTATGCAGTTGCACGTCTGCCAAATTTTCTTTGGACATTAGCTAAAAAAATACGGTAATTCCGCGAGGCCGTTCTCGGGAACAAACTAGTTAGTATGGCAGAATTTTCAGGGAGTCACACGGACTAATCAGGGAGTATTTGACTCCGGACTCCCGTTAATTTCGCACCCTGCGATCTACGTGTGCACTGCTTACGTGCTCGCTATATTAAAAAAAATTAAACACATTCTATTTCGTAACGTTTGTAACTTTCGAAAACATTAGACAAGAATGATTGATGCGTAAAAACACTCTGTGCAGGTCTCGTGTAGTTGTATTATATATAGTGCTGCAGATATAAGACATACTTCACCCGACCTGTCAAGGTCTCCAGCTTGAGGAATAATTTCTTCTCTGGCAAATTTTCGAGATAAATTTTGATACTCTTTCTGTTCCTCCGTGAAATCTGGACATGAATACGAACAAAATAAAAATTAAATTAACTTGATAATAAGTGCATTTTTAACAGAATGCTCCATGTATTCGTATGCATAAACAATCAGAGAAATTGAAAAAGTGAAATTGTAGTTTATTGCAAGAATGTAATATCTTTGCCGTTTTTAGGTTCAGAAATTGCATAAACCGTTAACTAGCTATCACAAAAGACTCAAAACGTGAACAAACATAAATTTAAGAAAACGAATGAGATACAGACTGATCAATTTATAATATATATATATTACAGATTTAAAATGGACACTGTACCAAACTTGTACCACGGTTATTTGCTGAAATTACATAGAAACGTACTCACTATTATTACTGCATGTTAAAAATAAAATTTCACCGAACAAAGCTTTACAATGCTTGGTGGTCACCGAAAGGAACTACTCGTTAAATAAAGAGTAGATAAAAACAATTTCACCCCTGATTATATACGTGACTGAAAACACTCAAATAAAAATACTACTTTACCAAAGCCAAAACCAGCCACAGCAGCCTTAGTCACACAACACCGGCGAGCTGACAAGCCATGATGTCTGGAACCAAGATGTACCAACTACAACAGATCAAAAAAGAAACAAAGATCAATGACAGTTAGTGATGTCACGATCATCGATTATACTCGATCATCGGTTGAACAGTGGCTCGAACCAAGCGCTTGGTTATCAAAATCCATAATCGATTAGAAGAGAATTGTCTGATGAGAATCAGTACATGTATTATACACACAGTAGTAAACAGTGCAAAACAAACAGTAAACAGGGCTAAACAAGCACATACATGCACACACGTACATGCACACGCAGGCATTCAACACCCCGAGTAACCGATTGTAACCGATCATCGGTTACTTGGGTCCAACCGATGATCGATTACGAAATTACAATCGATTGACAACACTAATGACAGTGTAGATTTGCTATAGATCCCTATGTGTACACGCAATTCAACAACAACACCTGAGATGATAAGAAGGTGTGTATTATATTACGATTCGCCCGTGTAATTCAACGCTTCAAGACCGAATCTTTTCATTTTGTGCCTTCTGAGGCTCGATCATTTCTTATAACTTACTAGAATCTAGAGACCATTATATATACTACTAGCGGGATACCCGGCATTGCCCGGGGAAATCAGTGGCGTTACTCAGTTGGTGACCGCTTGGTTGAAAGGAAAGTACCCAAAAAAATCTAACTATCTATCTATCCATGCATCCATCCATCCGTCCCATCCCATCCCATCGCATCCCATGCCATCCCATCGCATCCCATGTCATGCCATGCCATCCCATCCCATGCCATCCCATCCCATGCCATCCCATGCCATCCCATGCCATGCCATCCCATCCCATCCCATGCCATCGCATGCCATCCCATCCCATATCAAACAATGAAAAATAAAAATAAATAAAAATATAAAAGACATTAAAAATAAAAAATTAAAAATAAAAATTAAAAAATTAAAAATAATACATACTAAAATGGAAAAAAGGAAAAATAAGTTCCCCAGCTTGGACTCGAACCCGGAATCCCGGTGTAGGAGATGCATGTTTTAGCGATTAGGCCACTGCGCCATTAAGGGTATACAGAATGGATTCACACGTACGTGATGTTAATCTGTACGCACCGCCACCTATTGATGAATAGAATTTTTATCAAGTTTTCCTCTAGACTGCAGAGTTCTCTAGTTATGCGAGTATGGACTAATTCGGCTGAACAACTTTATATATATAGATACAGCGCACAATGGAGAATATGGGAAACTGTGTCAAATAGTTTCACTCATACCTTGTAACTTTGCACTCATAGATTTAACTATGTAAAGTCCTATTATATCCAGCGATAATTGTTTGACATAATAAAACCTAATAAATATAAGTTCTGCTTGCCCTTGTCACGTTCCTTAGCCAAGCTAGACATGTAATGATACTCGCAAGTCTCTCAATACCCCCATCAAATCCCAATACTCATAAACTCAATTCAATACAACTTGGCAAAGATTTTTCGTGTTTTGTCACAATGATGGATTGTGTCAAAGACATTATGGCAAACACACGTTTTATTTCATTCTCAATGGCCAGAGTATTGTTAGAAATACGCACAAGTTACATATGGTCTGCAAACTTTCAGTAAAACTACTATAACATCAGTGCGCAGGGTAGACTGAAACTAACGCATAGTGACAATGCTAATAGTTCACCTGCCTGTGTAGCCATTCGGTATCAGAACAAATACCCTCCGGACAATCACCCCCCGGACAATTACCCCCGGACAATTACCCCCCGGACAATTACCCCCGGACATTTACCCCCTGGAAATTTACCCCCCAGAGAATTACCCCCCAGACATTTACCCCCCCGACATTTACTCCCGGACAATTACCCCCGGACATTTACCCCCCCCCCCCGGACATTTAGAGGAGGAGTTAGAAGACGACGGAGAATGTAGTAGAGGAGAAGTAGGAGGAGGAGAGGAAGAGTAGAGGAGGTGCAGGTGGTGGTTGAGGAGGAGAAAGAGGAAGAGGGGAGAATGTGATGAGGAGGAGAAGAGGAGGTAGAGGCACCCTCCTCTACCTCCTCCCTCCTCCACCTCCTCTCTCCTCCTTCTCCACCACCTTCTCCCCTCCACTCCTCCTCCTCCTCAACCTCCTCCTCTCCTCCTCCTCCCCTCCTCCTCCACCACCTGGCCCTCTGCTACATCCCCCCTTCTCTACCTCCTCCTCCACCACGTTTCTCCCTCCTCCCCTCCACCTCCACTTCCCTCCTCTCCTCCTCCTCCTCCACCTCTCACCCCTCCTCCTCCTCCTCCTCCTCCACAACCAACCTTCTCCCCTTCCACCCCTCCCCTCTCCACCTCCTCTCCTTCTCCTCCTCCACCTTCTCCCCTCCTCCTCCTCCACTACCTTCTCCCCCTCCTCCTCCTCCACCCCCTCTCCTCCTCCACCTCTCCTCCTCCTCCACCTTCTCCCCCTCCACCACCTTCTCCCCCTCCTCCTCCTCCGCCACCTTCTTCCCTTCTCCTCGACCTCCTCCCTTTATCACTGTTCAACAATGAATAATGAACAACAAGTGAGTAATTGTCCGGGGGTAATTGTCGGGGGTAAATGTCCGGGGTAATTGTCCGGGGGTAAATGTCCGGGGGTAATTGTCGCGGGTGTAAATGTCCGGAGGTAATTGTCCGGGGTAATTGTCCGAGGGTGAGTGGCATGGGGGGGGGTTACCCCGGGCAATTGTCTGGGGGGGTGATTGTCCGGGTGGTATTTGTCCTAGAACCGGCTCATTCACACTGCAACGAGAACAACCAACAGCTATACCTAACTAACCATGCTTCATGATGATGCTGATTCTGCTCTAGAGAATCTCGGTTACAGTTTTTATAACAAGTGAACACTGTTCACGTCCCAAATGTCTACCCTCTGTGTCCCCACTAAAATTGCGGACTGTTCGCTGGCAGATATGGATCCGTGCGCCGCCAATTCATTCGGCGCACGGATCCATAGCTGCCAGCGCTGCATACTGTCGTACGACGTTCCCGCGGTCGCGTGCGCCTTCCCGCAGAACTGCGCGCAAGATCTGCGCTCAGCGCTTCCGATCAACAGCTTTTGGCAACGCTTCTCTAGTATCCCGTCTCATCTGGAAATCTTTGTCATCTGACGCTATGCTAGGCATAGAATAACGTCAGATGGTAAATATTTGTAGCGCATAACTTTCTGGTCTATAACGTGTATGTACAAAAACTGAGAAAGGAGGTCAAGCTTTGTAAGAACAACAGATTAATACTAATACTAAATAGTAATACTAATACTAATACTAATAGTAATACTAATAGTAATAGTATTAGTAATGGCTAATACTAATAGATTATACGTAATCACTAGTTTACTAGTAGTACTATTATTAAAGTTAGCACTATACCAGTCAAAAAGATTTGATTTTCAAAGAACACACAAGAAAAAACTTGTAGACTCGTTACCCTTTTAAGCAGTGCCATTTTTTCTGGTTCGTCTTCTAGTCTTCTTGTACGTGCTCAGCAGGGTAGAAGGTTCATCCACAGTCTCAAGACGGGCGCCGCTCTCCTTCATTTCGCTAATATTGTATTAAATGTTGAGTTATGAGCAAAGACCCCTCAGCAGAGTTAACCAGTCTAGACAGCAATAACTTTTTAAACAGCGGTGCATTCTGGGGTGGATTGCGAACAACAACAACAACAATCAAGAGAGCAGTCCTGCAGAGAGAAACTGCGATGTTTGATCATCGATATCTGTGTTTTTATATATCCAATATCCATGGTTTGATGATGCTGGATCTGTTATTACTACTATTATGCATACCAAATGCATAAAATAACGGCTTGAAATGAGTTTATTTTGGAATAAAGGTAACGAAAGTGTGTAAATGGGTTAACTCACAGGCACTTGACCGTTTCAATAATAAAATGATGGTTAATAAATACAACTTGTCAGTAGCCTACTACTACAGTACCAGCAATAGTCTTAATGTTTGATTTGACCTAATAACTTCACTTCAACACCGTTCAATACACCGCTGCAACACATAGCCCGCACGCCATTGTGCATGCACAAATACACAGTAGATAGGATGCTCCTATCTACTGTGTATTTGTGCATGCACAATGGCGTGCGGCTATGTGTTGCAGCGGTGTATTGAACGGTGTTGAAGTGAAGTTATTAGGTCAAATCAAAACATTAAGACTATTGCTGGTACTGTAGTAGTAGGCTACTGACAAGTTGTATTTATTAACCATCATTTTATTATTGAAACGGTCCAAGTGCCTGTGGGTTAACTCAATAACTGTGATTATAGGTCCCTGTACTCTGTAGGCTGTAGGCTGTAGGTTTTTAAGACTGTACCCCCACATTAACCAAACTCACGACATGGGTGTGTAAACGCTACTTTGAGCGAGAGGGCCGTACTCTGTAGACTGTAGCCTTGTATTTTGTAAGTTGTAGGCAGCACGAAGAGGGGAGGGCAGTCGTTAGTCATTACTATAAATGTTTACAACAACAAGCTAGGTGGCAAAACGTCTGTTACTGTTAGAAATTCTGACAGAGAGGTACTGCCAGGGCTCGAATTAAGCGACGAGAAGGGCAAGGCAATTTTTTTAGGGGCATGTGAGAAATCGCCTTGAATTTTCTCTAAAATGGAAGGGCACAGAGGCAACTCTCAAAATTTGAGAAGGGCACAAAGGCACTTTTGTAAAATAAAGGAAAACTCATAACAAATTAGTACATCAACATCGTCTTGCTTTTAATGTACAAAACAATATGCCCCCATGTAAGCTTACACCGTAACACCGACCCCTGTACCCCCCTCTGCTAATGGAAGTACAGTAACAAGAAATTTTACATGCCCGCTATCAGGAGCAAATAATTATCCGATGCTGTTATTATTCCCTCCTGCGACTATCGGTTTTAAGCTCATCATTGCAACTACAGCACGCACGCGCACGTGTTATGTTGACTCGACTAAAAACGAAACTAGGGCAGTAGCAGGGAACAATTTCCAGCCAAAAATTTGCATAGCAAATGTGCTATACAAAATAAATTTTGCATAGCAATTGGATAAATTTGTATAGCATTTTTTTTCAGACAATCACAGTACAAATTTACACCGCAGTGCATGCTTGGCGTGTTATCGTGTCTGCCTGTGACAGGCACAGCTAGCTTAAGCCTAGGACACACTAGCGATTCGCACGCTGCCCGGCAGCGTTTAAACAGCGTGCGAGCTTGGCACTCGTCGCGTCGCCAATGTCGAGTGAAAATAATATCGGGCCGGGCGAGTGAAAGTAAAGCTGACTCGCCCATGTTGGCGAGTAAAAATAATTGTCTAGAACTTTAATCAAATGTTGGTTCCTTCGTTATATATCCAAACATTGATGAAATACAGTTCTAGCGATTGTGAAGGGCGCTATCCGACTCCTCGACCACGACATTCTCACTTTATATTATCAAAGGTCGCCGAAGAAAGCAGCCCGCGAGAGCGTGCAGCGCCAGCTCAGCGTGGCTGTGTATACGTGCCTGGCGGCATACTGATTGATGTACGGGGGGGGGGGGAGTGCAGGATTGTTTAAAAGTCACGTTGGCCTTGGTGTTAACAAATCAATAAAATCGGCGTAACGTGGCATTTCATTGACGGGGCAAAGCAGCCCGAGAATAAAAGTAAATTGTAAACTTGTATGTTTTCGTTTACATCTCGCATGGGCTGCATCGCACAACTGCGATTCATAAAAAAATATGCGTAGCAAATGGCTGAAAATACATCGCGAATTGCGATGCGATACCAGGAAAATTATTCCCTGAGTAGATTAAAGGGCACTGACGGCAATTACACAAAAGGGCAAGGCAGGTGACTGCCGTCGGTCGGGTTGGATTTTCAGGGGCAGTACGGCGATTGATAGGGGCACCGACGGCAATTGCCGTCGGTTAATTCGAGCCCTGGGTACTGCCACAACTATAGTTACCTTCTGGCGCCTCACTAGGTAGTGACGTAAAACAACGACGTGAAACAATCGTCGAGGCTGGTTGGGCTCGCTATATAGGCTATCTATAAACTCACTATTTTTCTCTGGAGGCGGCAAAGCCACGTGCTGTTTGTGTTCTGGGCCGTTTACTCTAGGCAATTTGCCAATGGCTATTGACCATGTGTGATGTAATAGTATATAAATTGGTCTCGGGGCAACTGCCCCCCCCCCCACCGTTCTCCATTTTCCGCTAGCTACGACCGTGTACTCTGGTTTCTATTACCAGAGCAAATCACACATATATATTTCTGCAAGTGCAAAGCAACAACAACGCCTCCAAATGATCTTTTTCCCTCCGCTATTTCTCTGTTATTCCAGTCTAACTGCGGGTGTTGTGGAAGTACGTACCCTACATCGATTCATTTAAGTCATAGCACCACTCGATCATGACCTGTGGTCCAGTTGTTATATAGCATGCCCACCTGTGTGTTGAAAGGCTGCAAGTTTAAGCCCATCACAGGGGTGCAAAATGTTCTAAAGGTATAAAAACATCGCTCTCAGCATTTGAAACCTAGGAGTCCCCTCCTAGGTTAGCTTACCTTAAAATGGTCAGCCCATCTGCAGTATTGGAAACGTTAAAGAACCACTAAGAACGTAAAATGCTCGGCCAGTGATTATACCCACGATCACTGTCAGCAAAGAGGTTGGCTCGGCATAATGCTTAAAAGATTATCTATTGAACGACACCTCAACTTCCTATTCACACAGTTAGGAAATTGAGAGAGTGTGGCCAAGTACTAATATAGTTCGAGGTCCTGATACATGTATATCCACTTCGTTATGCTTTATGCCCGATGTCAGAAACTATGACCGAGAAATGTGTAACGCAGTGCCATGATAACTTGTACAGTCAACATATTAATGGAGGGGGTATTGGCAAGGATTCCAGCTGTCGAGCTTTGCAGGGTATATACTCTAGCAATGATATATGGTTAGTCGTACCTCTAATGTAATCCGTGTCACTGTATCAACACCAAGCCCTTGTATTTTATTAAATACTTTAGCCTCTAAGGGAGTGAATGTTATTTTATTTTAGGAAGCTTTGCCAAAGAGGCTATTGAACCACAGAATCTGATCAAGAAATCACTTACTAGTGAACTGGCAAAGGTTATCAAGTCCCTGCAACACGAGCAGATCAGCTCAGTAGAGCCGGTTTATAGGTATATATATGTACTTGCCATAATGTTAACTGATATTGTAAACAAATGATCTATATTAAATTATGTTAAATCTGAAAGTATGTATGTTTATTAACTGCATATCCTATTGGCAAATGTTTGTCATTCTTTGAAATAAGCTTTAAAAGTTTAAATGGACTGTTTGACTGATTAAACCTACAACTATCAACTTATATATATATAATCAATATATGCATTAATTAGTAGTGGGACTAAGTAGGTTTAAATTGAACTCTTGTCTCAAATCAAATTTCAAACTACATTCTTGTACAATGATTAGGATCAGCTACACAAATATGTGGCAAGTGGTCATGTGTAAAACTGTTTCATGTTGTTTCAGTGGAGATTCTGCAAATGCAGTTTGCAATGTCCTGGAAGCTATTTTCATACATGGACTCAAGGACTCCTTCTACAGTAAGGTGTGTGCCAGGACAAAAATACCATTTCTATATTATAAGTCAGAATTTCGCTTTTTAAATGTCTATATAAGAGCAGCAAATTAAAAAGAGTATACCCTTCGTCTTGCAAGTTATACTTGGTATGGAAAAACTGTGAATACATGTAATCCTTATCACTAATAATTCTTGTCATAAATGTGTAGGCATTTCAACCTTAAAAAATCATCAGCTTTTGCCAGATTTTATGTTTGGCAACACAATTGATTTAACATTTCGTGAGGTTATTTCCAGCGATTTTGCATTAGTTGATTTATATATTGCTGCTACCTAATTTTCACAGGCATCGTCAGCCATAATTGGAGGAGAGAGAATCCCTGAACCTGTAAGATTTTGTATTATATTTATATCTCAATCACAAGTTATTGTATAATAAATTAAGCAATTATTATTTTAGCAGTGATATTATGGGTGGAAGTGGTGATGATAGTGATGGCATTGGTGGTGATAATGGCAGTGGTGGTGGTAGTGGCAGGGTTTGTGATAGTATTATTAATCTTGGCAATGGTAGTGATGCTGAGAGGGTCTATGTCCCCCAGGGTACTGCCGGAGCGTACCCTGGGTATGGTCTGGTATACCGGAACGTACCGTGGTGCTATCTAATATTCCGGACCGTACCTCGCCTACTCCACTAACGAGTCTAGGGAGTCGCCTACGCCTACTCCCTAACCCTAACCCTAACCCTAACCCTAACCATATCAGATAGCTACCAGGGTACGTTCCGGCAGTACCCTGGGGGACATAGACCCTATGAGCAGTAGTGATAGTGGTAGTGGTGAAAGTAGTTAGAATGAAATACTTCGTGTTTAATTTTATGTCAGTGGTGGTGGCAGATGTGATTGTATCAAGTGTACAGTACTTCCATATATTATGTTCATCTCTTGCCATTTTCAGTACGTCAATCAATTGCAGTTTCTTATTCTGAAATGATGGTTTATAAAACATCAGTGGTTCAGAAAGACATGCCAATGTCAATGTACAGCAGAGACCATTTTTTCTACTAACCTCACTGCCTTTCTTTTTGCAGTCTTTCTGGGACTGTGTATCAGCGTATACACACAAGGATATCCTTTCACAGATAGATCATCTAAGTCAGATTTCAACAGAGATAGGCTACTGCCGGGTTTGTGCAATTATATTAGACAAGTGTTTACAGTAGCAAGATTTCAATAGGCCCACACTATATATAGCCACCAAACTTGGGGATTTATTGGGTAACCCTCTGGATTGATATGTTTAGTGTCTAAGTGGTTAACTTTAAAACAGGGACATATAGCATAACATACACGATAGTGAACCGTCACACTGTCTTCAAAGAGCCTTCAGAGTATCTACATGTTCTGTGAGGAACGTAATTACTATGATTATAATTTATAATTAGGTATTATGTATTTAATTGCATGAGACACGTTCGTTATTAAGCAGTCGCCTATGAAACCGTATAAGCATGTTTTCAGTGACAGAAACCAATTCTTAGTTTGCGGTCTGTGTGGCTTTATATTGTAGGTTTGGATTCGGATGGCTGTCAATGACAACTTGATGGAGAGTTATGTTGAGGCAATGCAAAATGATCAGAAGAACCTTAGGTACATATTTTTTAATTAGAATGTGTCTTGTAGTATTCATTTACCATAATGCATTTCTGTTGCATTAGCTAACTCATGATGTGTCATTGAAATATGTATTAATGCATGAATAACAGAAATATTATTTTAAAACTCACAGTAGGGTATGTATTTTGTTACATTGAATGTATGCTCATTATAGACCAAAGAAACAGTTAGTTTAAGAAAATAGACTAGTTGCAATATAGTTCTAGGATTGACGTTATGGTATCAAATTTTTTAGGGGCCAAGGTAGGTTAAGGGCTCATTCACATCTTGTTACCAGGTGGCAGGGAATTTTACTGTAATAATCGTTCTTTTAGAAGTATGTAAGTCCCGTGCTTCATTCAAGTCGCCAAACGGTAATCGTGTTGACCTGTATTACTTAAATTTGAAATGTAAATTTAACGTTAATTTATTGTCATGTTATTCTTTCAGGTACTATTATTCCCGGTGGGCTTACCTGAGGGACGTCGAAGAACCGGATATCATGAAGCAGCTTCTGCAAGGTGTGACATCCGAGCATCGAAAATGCGACAACAGTCTAATATTTTGTACTCGCCACGTAGAAAAAATGATTACGTACAATTTGATAATGCACTGCGTATTAGTAATATTACACATGACGTATATGTAGCTAATCCTACTTTAAGTCGATCCTTGCAAAAATTTCACTTTAATTATTATAAACATTATGTCAACAAAGGTGAAATGAAGTTTACAATTTAATGCACACACTTAAAAAACGCATCTAAGCTGATTGAGCCAGACTGATCTATCAACGGTGTATCAGAAAGGACGTGGTGGTCTCGTTCATATAGATACGTCAATTAATCATTGACGATACACAAAACACAACTCAACGATTTTAGGTTTGATGAATTTCAAGTTCAAGTTGGCGTACAATTCTAGTGTGTTGAACCAGTGGACAGATACACCTATAAACCTGGCCAGCCACCAACCAGAGGTACCTGTTGCAAGAGTGGCTTCTCCAGGTTTGTAGTGAATGCTACAGGGTTCAAATATACTAAGCAGGCTGCATTTATAGTTTTCTAAAATATCATTATGATCAGATTTGGTGGTTAGCAATTTTTAATTTCACTTGTAGGTTCCATAATTCTTTAACTAATCATCTCACGACCAAATAAAAATGGTCCTAAATTCAATTAAACAATCTTCAAATAAAAGCTTGTATAGTTGTCAAAAATGACAATTATTTTAAAATAGTCTGTGTTCATCAGGTAGTAATCATTCCTTAGTGCTACTTATTCTTTAGTAGTACTTCTGGTAGTACATCATGTAGGTCAAAGGTGAGCACTTGTATTTGTGTGTGATTTAGCTATGATAGGTGTCTTTGTATATATTCATTTTAAAAACTGCATGTTTACAGTGCCATCTGTGGCGAGAGTCGAGAATGTTAGCAGCCCTCAGCCTTCATGTGCCCCTGCAAAACCTCAACTACGTGATATAATACCAGCAGATCTCAGCGAAAGCTCAATCGAAGAGGTTGGCATAGCGGAGACCTCTGGAACCGAAATACCTGGTTAGTTAGCAGCTTGCATTTTTCTTTAATGGGGCGAAAAAAATGTAAGATTGCATCGTGCACGTTTTGCATCGTGTGTCAGCCGGTGAATTGTGGTAATTTTCAGAAGCGCCTTCTACTCCTATGCCTTGGCTGGAGTCTGCTATCGAGGCGGAACACTATTATGGGCATGTGGACGAGGAGGATGAACTGTGCATGTCTCACACTCAATCTGGTGAGCGGTGGGCATATTTCCCCCCTCCCTGCATCGTTGGTCGCATCGTGGACGATGATACCAGGACCAAATCTAATCGCTATTAATTATTGAATCTCTGTTGTTGTTGTAATCGAATGCCTAGCGAATGATGGTGGTTGGGTGCTTGCATGCCCTCATTCTAGAGCAGATTAAGTATTCAGGGTTCTGCCCACGGTGGGCGGCGGTGGGCGGGTGTGCCCGGCACTAATTTTTGATATTTAAAAAAAGAAGAAAAAAAAGAGTGATATATGGGCTTTTTATTGCTCAGAATGCAGGAAATTGAGTTTCAGACTATCAAAAATCAAAAATTTTCAGGGGGGGCATGCCCCCGGACCCCCCTAGATTGGCTTCGCGTCTACGGCGCAACTGGATGTGCCCGGCACTAAAAAATCCTGGGCAGAACCCTGAGTATCCTGTGCGATTACTTCGTCATCTCGTATCCATGACGTCATCTCGTCTTCTTGACACGTGATGGGATCCGTACAAATTTTCAAGGAAATATTTTCTCTAGCGCTACAATCATACACTAATCGATAAAACGTTGCCACGATCAAAGATTAAAGAACGTCTAAAGATTAAAGAATAGAGATTGTTTCCACGATCAAGGTTGATCGGTAACATATTCCCTCGTTCCAGCGTCGAGCGACACTTGCACTGCGGACGTCTTCGCCGAGCCGGCGGCGCCACCTGTTGTGAACGCCGCCGCCGCGCGGCAGCAGGATTGGTCGGACTACACAGCAGCCTACGTCGCGAGCACGATGGACGCGTACGCGCGAAAACACGACGACGACGGCGGCGCCCTCTCCGTCGAACAGCGCCCTCTACGCAAGCACGACGTCGACGACGACCCCGCGTCGCATCGTCGTCGTCGTCGCCACGACGACGCCGGGACGTCGCACGCGGGGGAGGAGGAGCCGTCGTCGGAGAGACGGGAGGCGAGGGAGGAGAGGAGGACGGGCGCGGAGCGGAAGGCGAGCGGAAACCAGTTGACGGCGCACGACGGATGGTCGTCGTCGTTCGAAGACGCGGTGCCGCTGCCGCCGCCGCAGCAGCAGACGCCCAGCATCGACGACGGTAGGCTACGTCGATCGTGGCTCCACCTGCCGAGCAATTCGAGCCTCTCGTGCGTGACGGAGCGTCGGAACACGTCGCCTCGTGTGATGCGATGAGATTGTTGGAGCAGACATTGGTCTGAATCGTAGAAGTGTTACATGGTCACGGATGTCTGTCGGTCATCACTTGCATGGGTGTTAAATGTCCGTCTGTACTGTAGACGAATTTCTGTCTTGAGAAAAATTCTGAAATTCTTTTTTATCATTTAAAAAAAATCACTTTTTAATTTTTTTAAGTAAATTTTATCTAATGATCTTAGCTATGTATGCTTGTTATATATTCTTGCATAATAGTGTTTTATCCAAGTTTTTGTTTTACAAATTAAATAGATTTTAGTATTTTCTAAATTTCTATCTTATCAGGAAATGTCACAAGATGTGTTTTATATTGCACAGAATCCATAGCTCAGTCCCCACTTTTTTTGTTAACACCCATGCACTTGTTTGCAGGTTTTTTTCATTGTTGGTGATGTAACGGGGTGGTTTGCTGACGTTTCAGGTCAGACGTACGATGCTCTGCTGAAGAATTACGCTCCAGCCGTTACGTCCACTCTCACCAGTATGGAAGACGGTCTGATGAAAGACGGATCAAACTCTGATGTGTCACCATCACTGATAAAGGTATTTACAACTTGCAGCAGTTCTTGCGAACCAGTAAGGGGGGTGGTAAGTAGTAATTCGGTAGTAAACCGTTAATATATCATTATAAGGAGATGCACATGCGGTTTTTACATGATCAACATGGCCTACAATATATTTCCGTTACCATCCATTTTATTTTTTGAATGAAGTTGTAGAAATTGTATCGTATGGTAGTCGCACGTCTTCCTACGACTTGTTTATCCTGTTTTAGAGAAAAGCACCCATCTCTAACCCTCGCTCATATCGTAACCGTCTCTCGTGCTCACACACATTCGGCATGTAATGTATGTAGCTATCACGTTTTTGCGCATTTATCGTAGAGCTCCTCTGGCCAGCAGGAGAGTGGGGATGAGGGTGACGGACAGCTACAGTGGCAGCTAAGTGATCCCAGCGATTTCGAGGTGCTGCCTCTGGGTGTTAATATCACTTCCGAAAATGCCGACTTCGTGAGTACCGTTAATATAACTGTCGCGTGAAATAATTGCAGATATTTGTGATATTATCTAAAGGTTCAGAATGCCTGCTCGTAAAGGTGGTGGTTGGTTACATCTCATGCTGTGCTTATGTGTTATTAGCTAGATCATTTCCATGCATAAGCCAATCTCACGTTTTGAAAAGCGTAGTGCAGCTGAAGGGGTCGTTGTCGTATATGTACCCTAGTATAGTACCCGAGGT